CAGGAAAAGCAGTCTTCAAAACACCAGTCTAAAGGCTGCAGCAAACTAAGGGGAAGTGAAATGAGGAAGCCCTTTGTGCTGGCTGGGAAAGTCAGTGCCCAATCTCGTGGTCCAAATCAGGATAGCAGAAGTGAAGGGGGAAGCTGGATTTTAAGTATCCTTGGAAGTGAACAAATAGAACTTGGTAGTAGATTGGATTGGGGAGAAGAGACAGTGAGAGAAAAAGAGAAATCAAAGATAATTCTGATGTTTTGGGCTCAAATGACTCAATGAATGGTGGCACCAGTTAGTGAGATGGAAAATGAAGGTTTAGGAGGTTTGAGAGAAATTGACTTCCTTTTTGGATATAAGGCCTAATGAGAGACATTCAAATGGGTGTGTCAAACATGCAGTTGGATATGCAAGCATAGAGTTCCGAAGGGTTTGCACCACAGATAAAAACTTAGGAGTTTGTCTTAATCAGCTCAGTCTTTCATAAGAAAACACCATAAATTGGGTGCCTTACAAAACAGGAGTTTATTGTCTCACAGTTCTTGAAACTGTTTTGGACTCCAACATTAAATTGCCAGCAGGGTTGATGTCTGGGGAGGCCTCCCTTGGGTTGTCGATGGCTGAGTTCTTGCTTTGTCCTGTCATGGTGAACAGAGAGCCCTCTGGTGTGTCTTTTTCTTTTAAGGCTACCAGTCAGCCATATTGGGTTAGCACCGCACACTTATGACCTCATTTAACCCAAATTGCCTCCTAAAGACATTGTCTCCAAGTAGAATAAGTCACATTACAGGTTACAGATGGTTTGGGCCTATGAGTTAGGGGGTGGGAAGACTTCGATCCACAGCACCATTGTCAGAATGTAGATGCTACTCAAAACCATGGAGATGGACAGGATTATCAAAGAGAAAATGGAATGGCAAAGGACCTAGTACAAATATTTAGAGCATATTACAAAAAAGATAACACAGCAGCCAGTTGAAAAGTGAATGCCAGAAGTTTCAAGGAGGACATAGTGGACAGTGTCCAATGCTGCTGCCTTAATAGCCATTGTTTTTTCATAAACAGCAAGGTCACTGGTGGTCTTAGTAATGGTCTCAGTGGGGTCGTAAGGGACAGCACCAGAATGGAGTTGTCTGAGGAATGAGTATAGGTGTAAAAGAGGATTCAAGAGTGGATGATGAGTTTTTTTTTTTTTCATGTTTGCTTTGAGAGTATTGAGTGAAGGGGCCCGAGAAATAAATGGCATAATAGGTAGAGAGGAGCATGAGAGTATGGTAAGTCTTTCCTTGTAATTTCTGCAAGTTCAGAGATTTTGACTAGAATATCTCCCCAGGATTTAGCCACAGCTATGATTTCTTTTAATCTTCTTAAAATCCTCAAAGAACAAGAAGTAGCCTCCTTTTATAGAAGTGAAAACCGAGGCACAGAGCTACTTGGTCAAAGTGGCATTGTGCTAAGGGCTTGATACCCAACATCCTTACCATTCTTCTCACCTTCCTGCACTGAGTTTATGTGTCTTTGTCTAAAATCCTTAGCACTGTGTCCAGCGGAGAGCAGGTGCTCAACAGGTCGAGTTACTGCTGTCACCTTTTAGATGATCAGTGTCGGTGTTGCCTGGAATTCTCTCTCTTGTGCAACAGCAGCTCAGATGGAATAAAGCTCGCAGTTGGACACCTAAGGCAGTGTCACGTTTGTCTGTGATGTACTAGATGTACTTGGGGTCCTTTTATATGAACAGTGTCCGTTAAACGCCAGCATCACAGTGCTGTCTTGTCAAGAAGTCCTTGGGAACTCAGACAACAGAAATGAGGAGGTCTGTGTAGTTCATCCCATGCTCATGGTGGGCCAGATCCTGATTTACTGGGATGCAAGATGACCATCTGCGCTATTTAAAATTTCCCTCCCTGTGTTACCTGAGTGTGTGCAGTTGGCCGCACAGGAGACTTCTCACCTTGCCCCCTTGCTACTGGCAGTTCTGCTGTCTCCTCCCCAGGGAGACTGGCTGGAAACTGCTGTCTCTGTTCCCCTCTACTCCTTTTGAAGCAGCTCTACTTAAAGATGAGATGACTCAAAGTGTGTTTTTACAAACTGAGCTTCTAAAACTAAAATATTAATTAAGTATTTACCTAGGAGATATTAGAGATTTAAAAAAATGATAATATCGTACATTACTATGTCCTGTATGAGAAGTAGTATATATAAACTCTAATTTGTTTGGATTAGTAATGTAGCCTCATTACCAATTGAGAGAGATACAAGAGCATTGATACAAAGAACTTAGCAGGCCAGGATCCCAGTGTTTGTTGCTGTCTTCATGTGACAGTTTACTAAGATGCTTAACTATAAGAGCCAGGGATGGCGGGGAAAGCCTGTAACCCCAGAAGTCCAGGAAGTTGATGCAGGAGGATCATAAATTGGAGCCCATTCTGGTCAGTTTGGAGACTTAGAGAGGCCCTATCTCAAATTTATTTTTAAAATATTTGAAACTGTTAGTCGATTTTTATTTTATTTCTAAAGTTTTCATTTTTTGCACATTTTCTCAGTTTATAACACATAGCACTATAAAACTAATATATATTAATTATACTTTGGATGTTGGATGTTCTCCCAAAAGCCCATATGTTAAAGGCTTGGTCCTCAGAGTGGTCCTTCTGGGAGGTGGTGGAAACTTTCTTTTTCCTTTTTTCTTTATTGGTACCTTTTAGGTATACAGTACAGTTCCAGTCATCATTGGGATCTTATACCTTTACATAATATATTTGGTTCTTGTTTTTTCCCCATTCCCCTGCCCACCCTTCACCCCCTCCACTCTTCCCTATTTACAGATTTTGTTTCCATTGTTTTCCCTTTCTCTTATTTTTTCTTTTCCATTCTTAGCTTTCCTCTACCCCTCTTAAATCCCCTACACCTTCAGACATTTTTTCCTATTACACAGTATCAATTATGCATTTTGTTTATCACACTAGATAAACTATTCAGTATTTACACATGTGTGTCCTATTAATTTCACTTGAGTATGTCCTCAATGTACATCCACTTAGCTATAAATATCTCTAGTTTCTCATTCTTTATGTCTGAGTAGTACTCCATTTAATAATTTTTTAAAAATCTTTATCCTGTCTCTAGTGTATGGGCAATTAGGCTGTTTCCAAGATTTGGCTATTACAAACCGTGCCTCTATAAACATGGGTGAGCATATATCACTGTAGTATGGTGCTTTTAATTCTTTTGGGAAGATGCCCAGCAAGGAAATAGGTGGGTCAAATGGGACTTTTAATCTTAGTTGTATGAGGTATCTCCATATTGTTTTCCACAGTGGTTGCACCAGTATGCACTTATACCAACAGTGAAGAAGGGTTCCTTTCTCCCCACAACCTTGCCAACATTTGTTATTGGTTGATTTCTTGATAGCAGCCATTCTTTCTGGGGTGAGATGGAATCTCAGTGTTGTTTTCATCTGCATCTCTCAAATGACCAGCAATGTTGAAGATTTTCTTATATGCTTATTTGCTGCTTTTACTTTTTTGTTTCAGAGATGCCTATTTTTGAAATGAGTTTTAAAAATTTGGGGGTCTGATTTTTTTATTTCTTTATATATTCTGGATAGTAGACCTTTGTCTGAGGAACTGGTAAAAAAATTTTTCCATATTGTATGTTGTCACCTAGCTCTGTGGGTGGTTTCTCTTGCAGTGCAGAAGCTTTTTTAAAAAAATGAGTACAGTTTCTCGAAGTAGGTATTGATGATGCTCTGGATTTCTCCTTGATCTGTGGTGACTTCACCTTTTTCATTCCTAATTGCATTTCTTTCTCTTTCTTTCTTTCTTTCTTTCTTTTTTTTTTTTGATAATGTTAGCTTAGGGTTTATTGATTTTATTTATTCTTTTGAAAAACCAACTCTTTGATTCATTGATGTTTTCATATTATTCTCTTGGTCTCCATTGTATTGATTTCTGCTCTGATCTTTATACTTTCCTCCCTTGTATGAGCTTTTGGTTTTTCTTGCTTTCCTTTTACTAGAAGGTTAAGATTCAGCATTTGGTTGTTTATTTGAGCTCACTCTTTTTTTCTAGTGTGGGCATTCACTGCTATAAATTTCTCTTGTAGATCCGCTTTCATTGTGTCCTATAGATTCCTGTGTGTTGTATAGGCATTATCACTAAATTGTAAAAACTGTGTAATTTCTTCTGTGACCCATTGGTTGTTCAGGAGAGTGTTGTTCAATTTCCAATTGTTTGTGAAGTTCTTGCGGTTTCATATGCTATTGATCTCAAGTTTAATTGTACTATGGTCTGATAATATACATGGGATAACTGAAACTCCTTTGCATTTACTTAAACATTTTCTATGAGCTAGTATGTGGTCTATTTTGGTGAATAACCTGTGTGCAGCTGAAGAGAATGTATATTCTGATTTTGTGGGGTGGAACACTCTGCAGATGTCCATTAAGCCCATTCATTCAAAAGCTTGGTTCTAGTATTTTGTTGCTGATTTTTTGTCTAGATGATCTATTTGTGACAGTAGGGTATTGAGGTCTCCCACTACAATTGTATTAGTGTATATTTGGTTGTTCATGTCTCTTATTAGTTGTTTTGTATGGTTGGAGGAATTAGTATTTGCTGCATATACATTTGTGACTGTCATCTCTTCCTCTTGGATTATTCCCTTTACAAGGATGTAGTGACCTTATTTGTCTCTCTTAATTAGTTTTGCTTTGAAATTTGCTTTGTCTTCAAAGAAGACAGCTACCCCTGCTTTTTTCTGGGGTCCTGTCACATGGAGAACTGTTTTCCATCCTTTTACTTTCAGTCTATGAGTTTCTTTTTGAACTAGATGTGTTTCTTGTATACAGTATATTGTTGGAGTTTGCTTCTTAATCCATTCTGCCAGTCTATTTCTTTTGATTGGTGAACTGGGGCCATTAATCTTGATGGATATGTGATATGTATTGAATTATCATCATCATGTGATTTTCCTATTGTTCTTTTTAATTTTTCCCTCTCTCTAATTTCTTGCCTTGCCTCCTGGATTTGCTATGTTGGGCCTCATGAAATTGTGACCTTCATTGTCTTTTCCTAGGATATTATTTATAATTGTTTTGGAGTGCTGGTTTTGTCTTCATGAAGATTCTCATGTGTTTTTTGTCATGGAAGTATCTTATTTCTCCATCAATTTTGAGAGTGAGTTTTGCAGCATACATCTGTTTGGGTTGGAGCTTGTTTTCTCTTAGGGATTGAAATACTTCACTCCAGGCTCTTCTTGACTTGAGGATTTGGGTGGAAAAGTCTGTTCTGATTCTGATAGACTTTCCTTTGCATGTGACTTGTTTCTTTTCTCTAACTGCTTATATTATTTTGTCCTTCTATTTAGTTTCTGGGATCTTGATTATTATATGACTAGGTGTAGATTTTTTTTTGTGATCATGACTATTTGGAGTCCTATAAACCTTACTTGTATGTATGTCAAATTATTTTGCTCTGTTTGGGAAGTTTTCTGTCATCAATTCTGTGAACAGTTTTTTTTTTTATGTCACTTGTACTTTCTTCTGCTCTTTCATGAATTCCTATAAGTCGTCTTATATTATTCTTATTTGCATCATCTAGGAGCTGTTGGATTGATTTCTCATGTTCCCTTACTTTTTTTTAATAGATCCCTCTTTTCATGGTCACTGACCATCATCCTGTCTTCTATATCTGATATCCTGTCTTCAGATTGGCTCAGCCTGTTATATATACTTTCAATAGAGTCTTTAATCTCCTGGACATCTGAATCCGTTTCATGGATTCCATTTCTTTCCTATGTTGGGCACTCATGGCTTCTGTTATGGTCCTGAGCTCATGTATTTTTTTGATCTGTTTCAGTTCTACAGTATCTAAGACTCTTTCACTGCACTCACCATCTCTGTAGTTATCATGGAAATTATTTCTGTTTTGAATTTTTCTAGAGCCTCATTCATCTGTTTTGTTACTTCCTGTGCTATCAGTTCAGGATGTCCACATGGTTGATTATCAGGCTTTTCCACCTCATTTTTTTCAGAATTTGCCTTTGATGAACAGACAGCCTTTGTTTGGGCTTGTGCCTTACTTGAATGTCTTCTCATTTCTATTTTTGTAGTTGGTACTGTCCTTGTTTAATTTCTGGGTTAATACTTCACTCTTCCTGTTATAGCTTGCCTTTAGGTTTTGAGTCTCTAATGACTCTGAGGCAATCTCCTTTTCATTATACCAGGTAGAACAATTGATCAAATCAATCACAGCACCTTAGCCCATGTAATACAATCAACAACAGAACAGCATTAAGCACAGCTTAGACAAATGACAGTTTGTGGTAGTTATTAATCTATCACCTTTAACTGTATGAATTAAAGAAAAATCAAGGCTAGAGCTCAGAACAATGCCCTTTATGACTCCCTGTACCTCTATGCTATGAATACAGGTACCAGCCTAGACAAGAGGTCAGGGGTGTGTGTGGGGAAGGGGGCTGCCCCTCCCACTGTTCCTCTGCCAAGGACCGCAGGAAAGCTCCATGCACTGTGCCTCTCTTCAAAAAAACTTTTTTAAAAGACTGGTATATAGCTGACTGGGATCAATCCCCAGTGCAGGAAAACCAAATACTTAATAGTAACATTGAAAGAAAATATTGGTAGATTTTTAACTTTGTATGGATGGAAGTAAAGGAATAAACCCTTAAAAATTATTTATATTTACAGAAAATGTGAAAGTTTCTATACATCTCCAATCACAATATTCAAAGTAAAAAGGCAGAGAATAAGCAGGTGGAAGGTGTGTGTGTGTGTGTGTGTGTGTGTGTGTGTGTGTGTGTTTGTGTGTGTGGAACACAATGCTAATATTGTTAATTATAAAAACCTGCTGTAAGAAGTTTCATGAGGGAATGTTCAAGTCCATGAAGAAAAATACGCCCCCTCCCTACAAAAATCACAAACAGGCTCTTTATTTTGGAAGATGAAATAAAATTAGCCTTTAAACATTTAGAAAATATTGATCTTAATTTGTAATCAAGTGAAAATTTAAGAAGTAGTCATGTTTTATTGGACTGTATAATTATCATAATCTCTATTAATGTGTTCCTTTGTTTCTCAAGGTTGGAATATACACCAAGGCTTGGACCTTAGCCAGTATATTTGTAGTCACAGCAGTTGTAATATCACTGCGGAGAATTTTACAACATGCAATGCATTATACACAGCCAGAACTGCAGCAGGCAATTATCAGGTCAATCTTCTATTTTGATTCTACTAATGTTGTGCTGGCTTCTATTGTAAATATAACATAAAGTAATTTAAATTTATTCTTTGCTTTCCAAATAGAATCCTTTGGATGGTTCCTATATATAGTGTGAATAGTGTAAGTATGTTTTGTTTTATTTCATGAACAGAATTTGTTCATATTAACAATGCTTATAAGAGAATACTTAAGGTCATGGAAGTATATCTACAATGAGGAGTTCAGTAAGAAAACAAAAAGGTTCACTTATTTTTAATGTTGATAAGAAGGTGTGAAGTATGATAATAGAAAATAAAATTGCAGATACATTGAATTTTCAAAATTCTATATATCTCAGCTTTTTTAAAATTTCAGATTAGTAGCTCTTAGTCCTTTAAAGAATGTAATATATTAAATTGCAGTTCTACTGTGATGTTCAACCTCTGCTGATGTTCAACTTCTTGATGTAAAATAGGTAGTGTTGGCATGTAACCTACATGCTCCCTTCCATGTACATTCATGCTCTCTGCACATCAAGTCCTCTCTAGAGGACCTGTAACACCTGACCCAGTGCAAATGCTGTGTATGTAATTGTTATCACTGAGGGAATGGTGACCCCAAAGATTGCTACATGTTCAGTACAGATGGAGGGTTTTTCATTTTTTTGTTACAAATATCTTCATTTGAACCAAATGAATTTTGTAAAATTTGCCCTAAGGACATGACTGTGGCTCTAATTTGATTAGATATGAAGAAAATGGCTGTAGCAGCATTTTCTATGCTCATATCAAGAAGATTTTCAGATTAATTTTGAGAACTCAATTTAGCTTCTCTCATGTTCATTATTTATCCCAAACATTTATTTTTTATTTATCTATGTGTAAGATGTTTATTACTCTCTAAAATTATTTTCCAATGGCTGGGGATGTGGCTCAGTGATAAAGCATGTGCTTAGCATTTGATTCCAGCACCACAGACACACTTCATTTCACAGGTTGTCTGGTAGCCATTAGAATGATAAATTGTTATTGAGTGTTTAATATAAATATGTGACAAGACACCTCAAGTTTTAAATTAGCTTATTTTCATACCATAAATTGTACCTAAGATGCAACTATGTTTAATTTCTGTGCTTTTTGATAGTGGCTAGCTCTGATAAAACCCAGCGCTGCCATATATTTGAATACTTTCCGAGACGGCTATGAGGCATACATAATCTATAATTTCATGATCTTCCTGAACAACTACCTAACTAGTCAATATAGAGATGTGACAGCAGTCCTTGAATCAAAAGAACAACAAAAACATATCCCGCCTTTATGCTGCTTTCCACCATGGGAGATGGGCAAGTAAGTATGTTTGATTTTAATTCTTTTCTGTTTAGTTTTATTTAAGCAGTTCTTAGGTATCATTCAGTTTACTGCAAGGCAGTGTATTAAGTACCATGAGCAGGGCAAATGAAATAAGACTGAGCCCCTGCCTGGTGAAGTTCATAGTTTGAAGAGCAATGAAATACATTTTTATAACCCACATGTCATGTTTTTTACATTGTTCACCCAAACATAAAATCTCTACAATGCACTGCAGAAGAAAACCTTAGACATATGTAACAGATATCCTTTTACAATTGGGGCTCAAGATCGGCAGATGTTATGCATATTCACACACTAGTTAGAAGACTTGGGGAGAAAATAATCTAGATAGAAAAGCAGCAGATGATATGAAACAGGAGTAACAAAGAGCAATGTTTATTCTAGTAACATATTTAGTTTTCCCTGTTACATGTTCATGCTGATAATAAAGAAAAATTAAGCCTGAGTTATTTAAACCTTTTATTTTGAAATGTAAATTGAGGATAAGATTGCATTTATAACACAAAGGAACCATCAGATATGTTTCAGCTAGGAAATATTTGAAAACAGCGTTTAAGAAAGATTAATTTTGCAGCACTATAAAAATACATTGGAGAGTTGATGACACAAGATGTGGGGAAATACATTAGGAAGTTATAATAACTCATTTGTGAAATAAACTGAACAAAGGAATGAAATTGGAATAGAGACGAAAGACAGTGACCACTGATAGATGGGGAATGGGGGAAGTTGTAGGCTAAGGAAGATGAACGATGTAGAGGTGTAGTATGAAGTTAGACATAAATGTGGGTAGGGCTGCATTGCTTCCTACTTGGTATAGAAACATTTGGACATCATTCTTCATATTGCCTGTTCTGATCCTTTCAAATGAGAAGAAATTATGAAATTACTTGGCTTTTTAACAATAATAAGCTGCTAATGTGTTCATTCAACAGAAACCTACTGATGCCCTAATACGTGCCAGTATATAAGCATAGTGTAACACACAAAACAGACAGGGAACTTACAGTTTGATTAGGAGGGTTAGAAGTTAATAAATGCATAAATAGCTACGTATTTCAAGAAGTTCCATGAAAGAAAGAGAGCAAGAGAGCATGAGAGAACAAAGTAAGGATGAATTCTATAGATTTGGAATCAGGAGGTGATACTATGCTGGCAGTACTGTGCTCAGTTCCAAATACAACAAGGGCACATGGGGATTTGCAGTTCAAAAAGTAGACTGAAGGGTCAGTAGATATAAAATTACTAAAAGGAGACATGAAAAAAGGAATCTTGCTGAATTGACTAACAGGATTCTTAGTGTAAGAGCCAACAGGATTACAAAAAAAATAATAATAATAAAAATAAAGAAATTTAAAAAAAAATGAAGAAGAGGGCTCGAAAGAACTTGTGTTAAGTGTGGCTGTTAAAAACCCATCAAAAGAGAAACCATTATAGGATGATGATATAAAAAGAACTGGTTTGATTAGTGTATCTTTTAAATATTAATCTAGTTGAGTTTATCAATCTTATTTCATAAGGATAACTTTTGGGGTCTTGTTTAAAAAAAGCACAGGAGTAATGGTGTCTGTTAAGAAGTGACAGGGAGCATATTGAGGGAGATTAATGGCAATATATCTTTTACTGTAACACATTTTTTAAAATGTAAGCATTTAGTGTATGTGAGGATCACATTGTGTGTGTGTGTATATATGTGTGTGTGTGTGTGTGTGTGTGTGTGTGTGTGTGTGTGTGTGTGTCTCCAAGCAGCCTGTGGAGAGCTCTCCCTTGCTCCACTGTTCACAGGAGCATGGACAGTGGTGAGCAGTCATACAAGGTCCCACTTCTGAAAGGTTCACCACCACCCTGGGGACCAAGCCTATGTGAGCCTTTGTGGGAGACTCAAAATATACCAAATTC